CACAATGTGGCATCTTTTAAACCAGACCCCCCTCTTCACTGACCCCCCCCCCGTCGTCGTCCTGTGAATTGAAACCTTTGTACCTTCCTGACGGCTGTCCAGCCGTGCAGCGTCTGTGTGAGGCCGTCGTTCACCTCCCTCGGTTCTATTTCTGTGGAAAACTACCCGGGAGGTTCTGTGCGTGTGTCTGTGGGCCCGCGCTCTGATTGGCTGGCGGGTCCTCAGTGCTGCCACACCTTCCATATGGGTGTCAGGTGTGGTGAGAGAACGCCTCAGCGGCCGACACTGAACTGTGTCCATCAGGAATGTGGCGTGAACGTCCGTCATCGATCGGCTGAGGTCTGAGTCTGAGCTGATGATTGGTGGAACACCAAAGGTCGCCGGGGTCGGTGAACTTTAACCAGTTTGGTGATGTGGTGATGTTTGTTGGTTTTGTTTTTTTCCTACAAAGAGAATCTGTCAGCCTTTGTAAACTTATATCTCTGACCTAGAAACGTTCTTTTGTTTCCAAACGATGACGGTTTCACACAAACAACTACAAAACACAAGGTTCTGTTGGAGGAGAACCAGAAGCTGAGGCGTCGACACAGAACGTCTGCTGGAAACAAGTGTAAATTAGCGTTACGTCTGTAGGATTGACTTTGAAATATTTCTTTGTTGTCGTTGTCGTGGTGATCAACGCTCAGCTTCAGTCACTGTTTTCAGAGAGTGGAGTTGTTTTTGTTGTTTTCAGTCTTCGTTTTCTAACAATATTGTTAGCTAATATTCTTAGCTAATATTGTTAGCTAATATTGTTAGCGTACCTTCTTCAACTGCATCGTTGTTCCTTCAGGATCATGGGGGATTGAACCCTTTCCTTTCACATTTATACTGGTTCCATTCTCACACCTGCCTTATAGAAGGTCCTGGGTTCGACTCCAGAGGAACCACATACTGAATGGCGCCCCCTGTGGCAGCCGTATCAGGTCCTGCCTTATCAGAATAAGTATTTGAAGTATTTGAAGTCAGTGTCTGTGGTGAATGAACCAGATCACAGTACTGACTAGTACTCGTACCAGTACTGACTAGTATTCGTACCAGTACTGACTAGTATTACCAGTTAACTCCAAGGCTTGAACCAAGCTTTTTTTTGTCTGTAAGGCAGGAGGAGGAACCACCACTCCACCGCGTGGTCCATATTACATGTTAATGTAATGATTTGTGGTCAGACTGAATGTGGTCAGACTTTAACGATGATTTACCAGCTGGATTATGAGGCTGCCGTTTCCATGACGTCCTTTTTTTTGGGATGTTTGTGTCTGAAATAAACAACAGAAAGACAGATTCCTGACGGCATCCAGAGGATCGCTCCGGTGCAGTCGTCTGTTACGGCGTTCCAGAAATCCTTGTTTTTGCCAACCCAGAGCCGAACCCTTGAATTCCTCCGCCTGACGGAGCGTGATGGAGCGGAGAGGGCTGAGAACAGGACGACAGAAGGAATCTGAACATCTTTAAACAGTTACTCCCACCTCCCAGTCAGAGCTGCTGCGGTTTGGGAGCTGTGGGCTGCTGCACGGGTGTGTGTGTGTGTGTGTGTGTGTGTGTGTGAAGATGATGCTGATTCTCATGCAGCAGCAGCAGCTGGGTGTGTCAGACCCAGCCTGTATTTCTGTCAGTAAGGTGTCAGGGTTAGAAGAACCAGGAATTATAACCCCCCCCCTCCAACCCCCCCTTTATTTTTAGGGGCAGATGATGATGATGGTTTTTTGGGGGGAGTCTTGAGAAACGCACCCGTCGTTAACCATCACAGTAACAGCTGTACTTCAGTGATACTTCAGTGATACTTCAGTGATACTTCAGTGATACTTCAGTGATACTCTGTAAGGTGTCAGGGTTAGAAGAACCAGGAATTATACCCCCCTCCCCCTCCCCTCAACCCCCTCTTTATTTTTAGGGGCAGATGATGATGATGGTTTTTTTTGGGGGGAGTCTTGAGAAACGCACCCGTCGTTAACCATCACAGTAACAGCTGTACTTCAGTGATACTTCAGTGATACTTCAATGATACTTCAGTAATACTTCAGTGATACTTCAGTGATACTTCAGTGATGCTTCAGAGATACTTCAGTGATACTTTAGAGATACTTCAGTGATACTTCAGTGATGCTTCAGAGATACTTCAGTGATACTTCAGAGATACTTCAGAGATACTTCAGAGATACTTCAGTGATACTTTAGAGATACTTCAGTGATACTTCAGTGATGCTTCAGAGATACTTCAGTGATACTTTAGAGATACTTCAGTGATACTTCAGAGATACTTCAGTGATACTTCAGAGATACTTCAGAGATACTTCAGAGATACTTCAGTGATACTTTAGAGATACTTCAGTGATACTTCAGTGTTGGCTTCTTTACTAAGATGTTTCAGGCTGGTTGTGAAATGTTTCCGTCTCTGAACAAACATTGTCCACAGGCCTGTCAGGACATTCCTCCACAGCTTCGTCCCCGTCCTCCTCACCTGCATTTTTATCTCTTTATCTTTATTTACCCCTCAGCGTCCAATCAGAGCTACAGTAAGGTTAGCTCCGCCTTCTGACTCATCGGTGGTTTGCTCTAATGTTGTAGTCTTTTTTTTTCTTAATTTTTTGCTAAAAGACAAAAAGGAAAACACTGAAAAGTGAACTTTGGTGCAGCTCTGTTCAGCTGGAATCAAACCTCTGACCCCTGCAGCCCGTCTCCATCCACTGCCCACTGTGTGAAACAGAAACGTCGTTGATAGAAGCGGAGGCTGCACAAACCTGCGGCGACAGAAATAAACAGACAGAGAAGTGATTCATGACATCGAACAAAAATAAAGATAGAAACATGACCAGTATAGACACACACACACACACAGGCAGGTATTTACGCCCAGACTGGACCTTTGTTTGTGCTGCCGTGGGCGACGACCCCACTCAGTCCAGGCGCCTAAATCATAAGTGACGATCTGCTGCATTTTTTATGGAGAGTTTGGACTTGATTTCCAAACTGATCTGCTCCTCGTTATCCCCGTGTTTTCAGACGTGACGTTTCTGAGATTTACTGCAGGAGAAGTCGTTTAAGTTGATCAACTCCAGTAAATCAACCTGTAGAAACGGTTTCCAGCTCCAGCTGAAGGATGAACGCTGAAGGATCCGTGTCGTCTCTTCTGTGTTCGTATTTCTGTCCAACACTTTTGGTTTTTTGTTTTTTATTTCTTTGTTTTTTCTGACTTTAACTCTAACTACATTTTAATTTAATTTCAATATTAATTATTGATTTATTTACACCTAAATAACATTCAATAAATACATTTTAGGAAACCATATATTTTTAAATATTCTTTTAGGAAATCCTGTATTGATTATTTGACGCCTGAATAAATCAATGTCAAAATGGAATCACAGGCCGTCCAATCACGTCGTACTGTGGCTGTGACAGGACGCGGCCGCAGTGATGTCACTTCCTGTTGGAAACCCGGGGACAAACGGACATTTTTTCCTAGTGAAGTCAGAGGAAGCGTCCCTCACTGTTCCACGTCAGGACACAGACACGCCGGGAACAACGGCTGGAACGTGCTGGAATGTGGTTGTTTGGTCGACGGGTTAGAGATTAAACTGCAGGATGAAAAGGTCAGACGAAGGTCACGCTGTGGCCTCACGTCTTCATAATTAATATTCACACCTGGAGGGAATCAAACCTGTGACCTGCTGATGTTGATGTTGATGTTGATGATGATGATCAGTCAGGATAAATTATCATCATAATTGATCTGATTGTAGCCGTGGTTTAAACACACACTGACCAACACTGACCAACACTGACCAACACTGACCAACACTGACCAACACTGACCAACACTGACCAACACTGACCAACACTGACCAACACTGACCAACACTGACCAACACTGACCAACACTGACGGTCAGTCACAGTGACAGACAGTGGAACTCTGTCCATTGTGCTGTTGTATTGTCTCTGAGCTCAGACACAGGGGACACTGGGGACACAGGGGACAGTTCTGGACCTGTTGTCTCTCTCTGATCTGAAGCCTTTGTTCTGTGTCAGAGCTGCTGCGTCGACACAGTTCAGGTCAGTGACGGTCAGTGAATGTCTGACCCTGAACTGAATCTGGTCCACGTTTAGTATTTTATTCAAATGGTCAAACTTCAACCGTCCACCGTGTGAGGGACAGAGTGTGAGGGACAGAGTGAGGGACAGAGTG